GGCACACCAGACAGTTGCTGTTCCTCAGATAACAGTGTATCATCTTTACTAAAAACGTCTAGAGGGTAGGAGGACATGTCCCTAACACCCCTAGTTTGATCTTTTCCGACTTAGAAATATTTACGTGGTAACAATCTGTCTCAGCCTCTTCTCAGGGGAGGCTTTTAAATTCTTACTCTGTGGCAAAAGATACTGCATTAAAAATGTAAATGAAGTTTATTCAGAAGGGTAAATGTGGTAACTAGTGTCCTTTCAGTGACTTTACAGTGACTCATTCTAGACTTTCAAAAAACACATCACTAACATCACACACCACTATTGATAAGAGTAAAAAAAGTTTCCTGTAATTTGAAAAGATGGAAACAATTTCTTTACTCAACAGTCAGTACTTGGAAAAGTTATTAAACAGAGGTCATAGAAAGGCTTCATTCTAACGAAATAGTGCTAAAAGTTTAAACTGTCAGGGAAAGAACTAGCACAATCATGGATTTCCTTTACAGTTGTTCTCAAAGCAGCTTTGACATGGTTAGAGATAGGGTAAATGTGCGAAAATTCTCTGAATCTGCCAGGAAACACATCAGGAGGAAGTGATATTACCCTCTGTCCAGATCAACCTAACAAAGAGAAGAATGCATTCTTACAGCCAGTTTCTGCTTTAAGACTCCTCAGACCTAAAACCAGTTTTCTACATTACAAGTGTGCTCTGTACCTCCCCAACCCAAGCCAACCATGGATAATTTTAAGAGGATGCTCCAAGTCACCAGCCTGAACAGAAATGGAGGGAGAGGCATAAAGCAGCAGAGCAGAGACTGCAGCTGCCCCAGCTCTGCTTCCTCACTCTGCCTACACTTTCACCAGCCTAGTGCTCCCTACCCTAGCCAGCTGATTGACTCTAGCTTGTAACTGATTTAACCTTGCCTGAATTTCTCCAAAGCCCTTTTCTCTCATTTAGTCTGTCCTTCCTTCAACTACTGCAAGAAAAGCTTTTAAAAAACACCCAAAACACAACACCCAAAACCAAACCGCCACCAAGGGACCAACGGGACTGCCCGTATGCAGTCAGAAGGAACACTTGCTATTAGGCCAGAAGTGTAGCAAAGCTTGGTAGACTTTTCTTGGCAGCTTTAGGAAAGCACACACAAAGCTAAAAGCAATAGGTTTTAAAGGCTGATATTAAGAAGTTAAAAGCATTTGCTTGTTGCAGTATGAAGCCATCAGACCAGTTCAGCTGAAAAATAAAGACTACTAATTCCCTGAGGAAAAAAACCCAAGGTTTTGCTGATTGATTATAGACAGAGAGACACACGATATCCATTCCTTAGCCCTGCTCTCTACATCTTACAAAAGGATGAGACAAAAGGGATTAGAGACTGCATTTAGACTAAATGGCTAAAGACTTGGCTAAAACAAGTCATTTACTTCTAGGGTATGAACCTCTAACCTTTGTGAGAAAGTAGAACACATCACATTAAAGAAAACAGTTTCTCCTCAGTGTGGAGGTACAAAAAAATAGCAGCCCAGACATCAGAAAAAATTTTTTAATTTGCTAATAATTTGCTCAAATGTCCTACTCGAAAGCCTGCTAAATACTCCCAAGTCATATTTGCTTCCTAAGGGTTTTATAAGCTGAACTGGCAAGTGAGAGAAAAATAAGGAGAGGATAGTGGAGAAAAAAGGCTGACAAAAGTAACCTTTGTTTATACATAACTTCGGGGTTTGTCTTTGTCACTTCTGGGGCTTAGGTATATGCAACTTAAGTTAAACTTCAATTACACTTCAATTTTGTGTTATTTTTGCTAAGCAATGACTCGTACATTTCTTTTGCTTAAGAATATCCATCATGTATTGGACTATTCCTTACACTTCAACATGCTCACACAAAAATTTAAAAGCTTAGCGTCAGGACAGAATGCCTGATTAAGGTAAGATGACATTTAAAATATATAAAAAATAACTTCCCAACATCATAATAAACTGACATCTTGCTGCAGAATCACATCTACTACTAAATGACAGAGTTCCATCTCCTTCTCCCTCTGTCATTATTACTAACCAAAACTAAGAGTGACCCAGAAACTGAGATTTAAATCTAGCATTTCTGTGTGTAACGTCAGATCAGCTCTTATGTGGGAGTAGTGATACTCTGCGTTACAAGTTTAACACCAGTGTCTCGCACCTACACAAACATTTAAAAGAAAACTGTACAGTTTAGGTTGAGCGTTGCTCTAGACCATGTGGACCTGGCACTGAATCCCTAGAGCTTCTTAGAAAAGCACCATCCCCCTCAAAAAAAAGGAAGGTTATGTGGTAAGTTAACTTCCTCCCTTCATCTTTATCAGCTCTGAAACAGCATGACAAGCAGACCTATTTGTGATGCTCCGTGTTAAAAGCACAGTTACTTCGAGGCTGACACCTACGCTCCAAGACTGGCTAAATTTATGGTATTAAATATTGCATTTCAAGTCATTAAGGCAAGTCCAGTTTAAAAGGCCCTCTTGCTCCCCACATCAGGTCAGAGCAATTCCAGCACCAAGGTGAATGGAAGAGAACAGGAGGCGGCTCTTTCTCCAATAAGGAAGAAGTTATCTAGATTTTCAAGTTCCTTAAAAAGCAGCTTTTGTTTAAGCTCTATTATCAGTTGCATGTTTTATAGTTTACAAGCTTTAGGACTTAAAGCTTTCCAACTCCATTATTACTTTTTTTTGGTGCAGGTGTTTCAGTGGCCTTTGAGCATGAGTACCCAAAAAGGAAGTTTTGATCGTAAGTTTCATATTTGCTGGCAAAACACACTGGTCAAAAATATCTATTTGCTTACAGAATCTTAAAATCTGTCACAGCCCAATAAAAGCATTTCAAGTGATATCTAGAGTGTCAAAAGTAAGTAAACTGGCATTAGAGGAACTTACTTCTACTAAATCATTTTTGTTTTATACGTCTTTATACAATTAACACTCAAAACCTGTACTTCACAACTGAAGTAGCTGTATTTCAGGCTAGTATAAGTTTGAGATCAATAGTTCAGCAAAAGCCTAACAGAGCAACCTCATTAAATCAGAAACATGAACACAGCTGCAGAATGACTCCAGACTGTATACAAAGAAAGCACAGCCATTCCCATTTGTGCAGAAAATCAAGACTCTTAGTAAGAGACTACAGATCAGGAAATCGCTAACAAGTGTTCATCTAAGAAAACCAAAAAGATCGGAACTTGAAATGCACTTCAGTAAAACAAAAAATGAGGCCACCTAGAATATGACAAAAGTGGAAAAACACAGCTGAAGATTGCATCACATAAAGTAGTAATTGTGAAAAGGAAGGAGAGATGATGTGGATGAACTGAACATGAGACAGTACAATATAATGGCAGAACAGGGACGGTGTAATCATTGGGTGTACTAGCCAGAGTCACGAAATAGGTTATGTTCCTGCATTTAACCTCTTTACCTGTCTCATGACAAGATATAAAAGTCTGCATGCAATTCTGGCACCCACAGCTTAAGCAGAAATACAGAAGGGGAACAGGAGAGCTATAAAATGGTTGAGCACCGATGATTTGATCAGTCAAACAACAGAAAACCAAGTCAGATGTAACTAGACTAAAAGGTGAACACAATTCTAATTAGGTGACAGCTATCAGAAAAAACAACTGATCATGACAGGATTCACCTTTTCTTCATTTCATAAAATCAAGACTAGAGTACTTTTTGGGAGACCTGTATCAGTCAAACCGTGGAAGCACGATGGCATTTAATGTCTGTGCTGAAGCAAAAACAATGCAAGGGAGTACTGGCTCCTCGCCTACAAAATCATATTGTTTGAAGCAACCTTTAAACTTTTTTTTTTTAGTAAAATGTTAGCACATGAGAAGATTGACCTAAACTCAGCTACTTTCTTCTTATCTTACTAGATGATAAATGATTCATATGCAATGCTTACTGTACTTATCTAAGTATTTCTAATGTACTGATCACTGCATTATCTAGGCAGTATGTGATTAAAAGAAATGATTGCTTTATCTTTTAATAAGTGTAGTGCCTGCTGCACTACAGGAAAATATTCAAAGTTAAAATTCTTTATGCAAGCTCCATTAAATTTATCTGTACATTCCATATCTGGAGAGATGAAAAGGATGCAAGTAGTTGACAAATCATAGGAAGAAGAAGGCTTTGACACAATAGAGTAAAATCATCACTTTGAAGGAAAGATTTCAGAGGGAAGAAAGACTCTAGCAATACGAGTTTTTAAAAAAGTAAACTAGATATTAACTAGCTTGTACCTTAGGAATAATAACCAAGAAAACCTTTGCAGATAGGGTGCAGCAGAATTCAGACAGGACAACTGCATATGAGTACAGGAAGGACAGACTACAGTAAGATATCATGATTTCTCAAAGCCAAGAAAATATAAAGAACGGTCATTGGTGGTTCTCTCGTTAAGGGAGCAGCGAGTTCATGGGACAGTGAAAGCTGCAAAAGGAACTGAAAGTATAAGGAACAACACAGAAGCCAAAGGATGCATCTTTAGATCCTACAGTGACGTGGTAGCAGTAAATAATATTTCTGGTTTCAAGATTTACATAAAGGGAGTAAAAGTTTTACAACAAATCCTCCAATACCAGTCATAGCAGGAGAGTAAGCACAGAAAAGAATGGTTGCTGGAATCAAAACGCGTGCTTTTTTTGGACAGAGGATGTTTTCAATCTCACCTATTAATTGGTACAAATTACCCATTGCAAGACAAGTGAGAGTTTAAAAGTGTTGTCTGTAGCACGGTGCTTGTACAGAAGCCATTATTAACAGTTCACAAGTGTGGCCATAAGATGGATTTAAGGCCTTTGCTTATAAAGAAGGCACATTCAGCAATACTGCATTAAACCACTTCACAAAGCAGTGCCTTGTATTCACAGTAGGTTAATAAAGAAAGGAAGTGGAGGAAGAAAAAACCATGAAGTACAAGAAGTAACCAGTATCACGTTACACCTTTAATGCCATCACCGTTACCTGGATTTCTAATTCAGCAATATGCTGCTGGAGTTCAGCCACAGCTGCAATGCGGTCTGCCTCACGGAGCCGAACTGCCATCACTTCTTCTTTACTCTGAAAGAAATAATAGATTGAAGCTAACAAATAACATCACTTCCAGGTGATTAAAGACTCTGCACTGCTTTTGCCCAAAATCATGTAAATAAGGGAAGCTTAATACACTGCTGTGTGAAGTATCATACCTATCGATGAGGCATGTGCTAAAGAACCCAAATTTAATTTTAACCCATAGAATTGTGTAATCTAATATCAATTCTAAACTACAATAATCTAAAAAATATCTGTGTAGTTCTGAAAACACGCTGTTACCAATTTCCAGGTCAGCAAATAGCTGTCTTGTGTTCCAAAAAATGTTATATTGTAAATTAAGAAAAAGTATCAACACAAAAAACCAGCTCATGCTTCAACTTTGACTTTATATATAAAGAAACAAAGCTATACAAGAGTTACTTATTTCATCATTCTCTGTCTAAAAAAATAAATTAAAAAACCCCAAAACCACAGATATTCAGCACAGATAGTCCAACTATCTTAGTCACAGTATACAACAAAGACTTGCAAGACAGTTTAGAATAAAATTCTAATGCCCATACCCTACAGTCAGACTCCGAGTGTAATTTTAACCAGCAAGTTTGCCTATAAATGGTAGGCAATTTGAGTTTGGACAAGAGAGAAAGAAATTTCCTTATTTCTGTTTTTTTTGAGGCAAGTCCTCCAGACTTGAGAGCACAAACCAATTAATATTACTTTGTCAGCATCCTGGTACAACCACAGAGGGAAAACAGTGACAGATACTCAGTGAGCAATACTTTCAGCTGAAGCGCAAATAATTCTGGGGAAGAGACAGACTAGGCACAGGTACACCTACTTTTATGGCAGACTGCTGTAACTCTGAACTGTAGTTACTGTAAATCAGTTCCAGTATTTCAGTTATTGTAACGTGTGCTTTAAACTGACAGTACTTACCCACCCTTCATTAGACAGTTTGGTCGAGACTGAATTGAACATGCCAAAGCTTATCTATAGCAGCTACTTGAAAACATGCTGTTTCTTTTAAAAAAAGATTCCTGTAGTGAAAGGTACATCATCTACAGGATCCAATGACCGGCATTTGTCATCAGCAGAGTCCATTTCAGAGGAATTCATCATGTGCTAGCCCAAGTTTAACCATTATTGCTAAATTCTGCTGCATGATTGCTCGAATGAAGCCAAACCCACAAGTCCACAGGATTGCATGTATTCAACTGAAAGCTAAAGGACAGACTGGCTTGGCTTGACTTTGGTATCTGAGATGAGTCAATAGCCTTGCTCTAGATGGCACTGATGCTTTATCTCTAGAACAGAGCATGTTCTCAATTACCACAAAAGTTCATATGGTAGGAAAGACAAGACTGGGGTGGGGGCACCAGTCTTATGCTGTAAATTCTTTAGCAAAACCGATTAGAAAGATCAGTGCTGTGTTTCAAGAAAATCTGAAATTAAGTCCTTGCTGTAGAAGTAGCAGTCAGATAAAAAGGGAACAACGTAACAGTGCACACCAGTGACAGAAACAGTTCATACAGGTAGTATGAGATGCAACTTACGGCAAAATTTTAATTTCTGCTTATGTATTTTAAGCTACCCTTTAAAGAAAAATACAAGCTCCAGAAATAACATACCAACTCTTTCTGCACAGAAAAAAAAAAGACATTAAAAATCCAAACATATCTTTTTTTGATACACCTCTTCAAGCAGAAATATTGCTAGCTAGCCAAGATGTAGTGACAGAAATAAAACTAGAGCGTGATTCCAGATGACTTAAAACAATAGGAAGAAAAAAATTGGTTTCTAATGGAATCGGGAATAACAGACTTGCTAGATTTAACGAGATGCAAAGCGGAACTTTTAAAAATATTTGGTGCTACAAAAACTTAACATTTGTCTGAATTGCTCTATGACATCACCTGAGAAATTACTGCAACTTTCTTCATCAGTTTTGAATACAAGGTTGTTAGATCAGCAACATATTAAGTATTTTAGGTATTTACACAGCAGTACTGTCTTTTCAGTTCAACCTACCTGTTATTATCTGCATTTCGCACCAAATCTAAGTTAGTAGCAACACTATTTAGTAAAGTTACAGATACTGAACCTATTTCTGAAAGGACTGTAGGTAGGACAAGTCTGCTGTTACCGCTGGAGGCTCGCCCTTACCCCTTGGAACACATGCCTTACATCGCAGCCATAGGACAGGCTGGTTTCTTGTACACCTCCTTAGTATAAAAAAGCCAGTAGAGGTGTAAGGTTTTGGCCTAACAAGCATAACAGTGTTTCTCTTTCTACTTTAAACTTCAGCTTTGTTGTTTGGGTTTTGTTTTTTTTTTCTTTCAATTCCTTTTTATCCTCAAATCTCATTTTCCTCACAGTGAAATAACCTTAAACAATCCCAAGCAGGAATTTCTTTCATTTATTGCAGCACAGAGGTGAGGAGACAGGAACCTAAGATAGTCCCTTCTGTGACAAAAGTGAAAGCATTTGGCACAAATCTTAGCTTAAAGCTAAGAATCATGCTTCTAGTAGTTTGAATGTGGAGAGCAAGGGACAAGAAACAGAATGATAATCCTTACAAAATCAACTGTCAGAGGACAATGGCTTTTTATATACTCTCATTTTTCACTTAATGGTATATATATCATCTAGAGTTTGAAATTTAGACTGTTCTCATAAGTTTGAAACAGCAATAGGAAGCTCACTATCAAGTTATGTTCCACGTAATGACTGGGAGAACACTTAAACTTAAGTAATTATTTAACATGGCTTAATTTTTTCGATGACACAACATTCTTATTAAATCTGCAAAACATTGCTGAATTGTTTGTATAAATTATTAGAGAATAAAATCACAATGACAGTTCACAACAAGTGTCAAGAGGTAGAGGGAAAAGGGAATATGAGCGAAATTACATTGAAAAAACGTAGTTTCAAACAAGTTAAATTTGAGCATCTTTCAATACAGTTAGCAGAAAAACCTTGTGTATTTGAACAGTACAGGAGTCTACACGATATTATACTAAGCCTTATGTGAAGAAGTCACAGTCAAATAGCAGGACGCCAGGTAATATCTGTGCATCATATTGGTAATATTTCATTTTATGTATCATAAACGTCAACATGGAAAACACGTTACAATGTAAGCTGTAATCTTTTTTCCTCTCTGTGACTGCAAAACAGGTTTCAGGATCTAATGTTAGTGGATGTCAGTACCGCTACTTCACTTGCTACTGACCACTGCTACTTTCAGATAATCTCTAAAAAAATGACTGCTGCTCTGTCTATTACTATGACACTTTTCTCTATCCCATGTTAGAGCATAACTTTCCGAGCAAATTATCCAGTGAGAGTAGTCATGTATATTACCTCATTAGTCATGTTAATAACATATTATACTCTTTTTAAAGTCAATAAAAACCTTCAGAATATTGACTACACCCTCTCAATCTCTTAAGGATTAATAAGGATTTCAGTATCAAAACCCAATCAAAGAAGTTACAGGTTCTATGAAAAGACAGGTCATCAAGATCATGAATATTTTTAAAAGAATCAGTAAGAATAATCTCAGCATTAACAAAAATAGCACTTAGGAAACCAGTGATTATGGAAAACAAACATTCAGTAGGAAGCAATTTCTTCTAGTTAAGATTCAGTGTCTTGTTTCCTAAAAGCTTGTGATGGAGTTTGATGAGTCAGAAGTTACGTCTTCACCACGCTTTAGATTCAGGTTCCATTGAAAACAAATGGAACCGGCAAGACAGCAAGAAAAATGAAAACCTAAAAGCCCCTGAAATACCTGGAGTATTTCAGTTATTTACTGCTCTTAAATTTCTATAAAATGAAACTGAACAACAAAAATCAGCTCCATTTTGCTGAAAGAACTATAACTGAGGCAAAACCAGCAGGAAATTGCCAATTACAAATTACACACTACGGCTTTGAGTAACAAACACAAGAGTTTACTACACCGCTAAATTGCCTAGATTTATGCATTAACTTGGAGAAAAGAAATTGCAAGAAGAAACGATTATCTGTAAAACCTGAGAAATGCGATATTACTATGTGCATTAACCAGGATATCATTTCATCTCCAGGCTAAGCGACAACGATAAACCACTCAAACTACACTCTTGACTCATATTGTCCACAGAAGCCTTTGATGGAATTGCAGCTAATACAGCCTTTGGGGCACGTATGGTGTTACAAGCAAAACGCACGTATATTGGATAAAATTGGAAAAACAGTCAACCCGTAACATGTTCTGCATGAATGAGAACAGAAACAAGTACTGCACGTAAAAAAGGTCTGGTTATATTAAAGGCAAAACTAAAGCGTGATCGTGAACAACAAATTATCTGCTCTCAAGTTGCCATTCTCAACCACAGTTTAATAAATAATATTCTGATTACTCATCTTCTATTACAACACTAACATACTAAAAAGTATCCTACTTAGAGTTACTGACTGTTCAGCACTAGTTGATTTCTTAAAAGACTATTCATACATTTTTTGAAAATAAGATTTAAATAAAAGTTATTTTTGTGTCTCTAGCAAGTAGTATCTTCAGTATAGCGATTTGTCAGCTAATACTGCCCTTTTTTGAAGTAAGTATCAGTACTAATTTCAGAAAAATTTTCATCCAGGTTAAGAGAAAAAAGCTTGTAAAACTTACTGTTTATTTCTTATCTGTATTATGTGTGCACAAGTTAAAGACCTAAATTATTAGTAAATGGTTATGGATTTAGTTACAATATTAACTAACTAAATCTGAGATTCAGGCATCAAATTGGCCTCTCTTGTGCACTGACTAATAAAAACGACTCTTGCCCAGTGTTTTTTGGCCTGTGCCCTTAAAGTTTGGTTATTATTAGGCAATGACTACTGTAACGCTCCCTTTCTGTAACCCTCTCCATTCAAATACTACTTTTACTCTCTTTTTTTGAACCTAAACTAATTCTGCAGTAATAGTGTTGAAGCAACGAACCTCTTCTGTCACTGAAGACAATCGGAGCACACAGAGATCAGAATCTGTTCTGTACAAGCGTCTTTTTATACCTTATAAACACTTGTTTTTGAGTAGAACCACACTTTAAAGTAAAAGTTTATCTTTGTGGGACAACAAAGAAGCAGCTCTGTCAAAAGCTCAAGTGATTTTTGTGAGATGGTAAATTCAAGATGATACCGTCAATCAGCAAAAGCAAATTTTAGTTTTGTGATTTCTACTTCTCAATGAAGACACAGTTCTATCCAACAATAGCGGACAAGACTAAAAAGCGCATATACAGTTGCACACAAATAGTCTATTTATGATGTTGTTTACCTTGCATTCAATCTCCGCTTGTCTACGTTTTGCTTCATTCAGCTGAGCAAGAAGTCCTTTGTTCTGTGCAGAAAGGTACTGTACCTTCCCCTGTAGGTTGGTAACCTCTTGCTCTGCCCTTCGTAAGTGGTTACTGTTGATCTGATTCTGAATTTATGACAAAAAAAAGGAGAGAAAATGCATGTTAAGGAGAGACCTTTGATACTAATTTAACTCCCCGAAGTCTCACAAGAAAGCCTTGTGGATCATTTACTATTACTACAAAAAATACCCCAACTTTTGATAAAAAAGCGTTTTCTAGGTGTTATCAGAAAAGTTTGCATGACATTTGATTTATGACCAGGATATTCAAATTGTTCTTAAACAACAGATGACTCATTGTAAGAGCATTATTGCAAAGCTCCTGTACGTCTGTGTTTCCCGATATCTTTCTTAGGTAAGGCAAAGATTTTGTGAACTTGGATCCCAGCTACAGCAACAAGCTGATGCATCCAAGAGACATTAGGTATGGCAGAAATAGTACGTGCACATTTCTGTCCAGTGAATTCCTGAAAGCAACATGGCAACTTCATGAACGTCTGTGCATTAGTACAAGTCACAGCAATTTTATACAAAGCTGGGCATAGACCAGTACATCACATGAGAACCAGTGTCCTTCTGTCAAACGACAGTTAAACGCCATAACCATAGACGAAGGCTCGGTGGGTGACGCTGAACTGAGAAGCACCTAAAGGTCTCCCGACTCACACATGTAATCCAGACAGCAGGCTACCTATGCCCCCTACTGACTAAAATACACAGATGGGGAAAAAGCAACAAAATCAAACCGTACGTTAACTGTAAGTGAAACAGTATTGACACTTCAATGAAAATTTAAAAAGTTACGACAAGAGGAAACTTATTCAGTTCATATAGTCAAAGTGGTGCCTCTGTCAGAAATAAGCCGCCATGTGCCTTGCAGTTAGCTCATCTCTCTTCACATCCTCACATGTTCTCCTGGTTGCTGGGACTGCTGAAGGTTGTCAAGTTTTTGGTTGGTTGGTTGGCCAGCCTTTTGGATGCACAGGTCTCCTTCAAGTTAACAGTTACCTTTAGCAGATATTTCATGGGAAGATTTCTCAAAAAGCTGTTACAAATCTTTCTCAATCAACAGCACATCATGTTTGATTCAGTTGGAAGTTCACTAATATAATATAAACTCATCAACTCCAGTGTGCTTTCATTTCAATTTGTTTGCTTAATAACAACTAATTCCCTAGTTACACACAAAAAAATCTTGACAGACAAGTTATTTCTGTCTTTTCTGCACAAATCTCACCAATGGTAAATCACATTTTTCTTTTCTGGCACATGAAAGGTAAAGCTTCTGCTAAAAAAATCCTGAAAACATGCAGCTGTTTTGCTGAGAGTCCACAGTTTAGTAACCAGATTGATGACCTCAGTAGATAATCTAGTACAGGGAAGAAAGGAAAACATTGCCATCTAAACAATTAGAATACTATTATCAGAATCATCAGTTAGGTTTGTGGAATTTAAAACACCTTAAACATACTTCTGTTGTTACACCAGTTACAATTTAATGAATTAAGATTCACACACATTCACAGAGTCCACCAATTAGTCCAAGTGAGAAATTCACAAAGCTTAGTCCTGGAAAAAACTAAAGAAGAGACATCAAAGTTCGGCTGGATTCTCCCTCTTAGTCTAACAGCATTAAAAAATGCCTTTCAGAACTAGAGTCACACCTCTAGATGGTAAAGACCATCATCAGGTATCGACCCTTTGATACCAATTTGCCAGCACTCAGCTCAATTCACACACGCTAGCGTTCAGTAACATACCTGGGTTTCCATCTCCATCATTCTTTGTTTGGTCTCTTTCAGTTCAGCCTGAGTTTCTGCTTCTCTCAGCCGGACTGTCATCAGCTCATCCTGCAGCTCATTCACTGTGTTTTTCCTGGGAGGATCTTTCCATCTTCCAGTGGTACGAGCTAGATGACGCTGGAAAAAATAGCATGCCATTGCTGAGAATGCCTCATCTTTCCTGGTGTTCCCGTATTTCATTTAAAGTCTCAGCGTTACATGGAGACAAACTGCTATAGTGCTTCAGTTTGTCCTAAAAACTATAAACCCATAGAAACTTGCTAGTTTTAAGAACAGACAATTAAAAAGCTGAAGACAGCCATTCCCAGCTACAGTAAGTCAGTGAACTGCAAGTATATCCTGAGACTTTTGCCTATTTCTAGCCCTTATTAACAGTTAGTGAAGTAGTACTGACCAGGTGCTTCCTTTCTACCAGAACAGTTAGCTGGTCGCACAGCCTCTCTGCCATCTGTAACAACTAGGGGCCAATTTCTGACATACTTTTGAAGTAAAGTTTCTCATGGCAGCTGCATTTAAAGATTTTTCTCACCTCATCAGCTTGATCCACAGTCATTAGTTTTCACTTGATCTCTGCATCTCAACATTTCCTGGTCTTTTGCTTTATCATCATTCATTGAAAATGAAAATTGTTAAGAGTATTGCTACCCATACCTGCCAGTGTTCCTCCAAATCTTTGACTTGCTGCCTTAGTTCTTTGAGACCCATCAGAGCTTCCGCTTCTCTTAATTTTACTGCAATCAGTTCTTCTTGTAGTCTAGCAACATTTTCCTCATCAGGGAGAGAGCTGTTCCTCTGCAACAAGGACCATCCTCTTAAATATGTATTTGAATAAAATTCTGCTTAGTGAGACCTGCTCCAAGAATGTAGACATGGAATGATAACCCTTATTACTAACCAAGCTTTCTTAATTACACATCCGTTGCGAAATAAAAATCTAAGTTCCTGGATATAGTGAGTGTGTATAAATATCTTCCATCTACAGAAAAAAATGACAAGGTAGTTTTAGGTATTCTGACTTCCAGATTTCCCCGGATGGTACCCCACTATTTTGCATGAATCATGACAAATATGGAGAGAAATCTGGAAGATTTTGAGCTAGCTGATAGATGTAAAGCAAACAAGGAACTGAAATTACACCTATAGAGTTATAACTTAAGACTTACAAGATAAGTAATAAATGGAAATTTATTTTTTGGAAGTAGATCATCTGCCTTTGAAAAGGAAAAAAGATAAGTTGACAAAGGAAGCATCCATCAATATTTATAAACAACAAACAGTCAAGAAAAAGGTCTTACAGATGAAAGCACACAGATGTTTACAAAAACACATGAGGAAAAAGCAGAAAGACTAGAGACAGCCAAACAGAAAACAAGACGACACATGGCAGGAGTGACTGGGGAAAGTAAACAGTGATGAAAGCATAATAATGGAAGTCTGGGGAAAAGAAAAAAACAAAGGGGAAGAAAGAGGACATGGTCTGCTTAACTACAGTATCCCTACATCAAATTATTGGTCACCAAATACTCAAAGTTGAACTGTGCTTCATCACTTCTACTGTATTTCTCAGTGGTAATTTTCAGTAAAACCAAGTATTTTCGTAGATATGCAATGCTGTGACAGTTGCCAGGTTTTGCTGAGAGTTGAGAATGAAGTACATTAATATTAACACACCACAGCACAACAGCCATTTATCATCATCTCCATGTTTCCAAATCATGGCATGTGGCAAATATCGGAAGTGATGGGGTCTGCTTCTGAATGCTTACGTCACTGTCAGGACAGCCATGCAAGTCATGGGTTATTGAGCAGAATTTTCCCAGATCACATGACACATCATGAACAGCAGCGGAGAGCTGTATTTGTAGGAATTTGAGGGAGTTAACTTCAGTCACTTTCTCATGTGCCTAAGTTCATTACCACAGACTGAAATGTAACTGTCCCTCTGAGTTTGTCTGGTATACTGGAACCTCCCCCACTGCTCCAGTTTTTCTTCACATTTAACTTTTCAGTGAATGCTAGCTTCATGCTGATGAAGGTTAAGTACAGTAGTCTCTTTCTGAACTTTGAAAAACACCTTAGATCCTGAACTTTTACGTTCAATACAGTAAAAACTACCACACCTCTAACCTATCAAGACTCCCATCAAGCCCCTCAGATAATTAAGAAGTAAAATCTTGACTCCCATGGGTTAATCTAATCAGCTAATAAGTTCTGGCCACATTCCTGAGTATACAGCTCTTTAAAATTTCCACGAGGAAACAATTCCCAAAGCTAATACAACAGGATCTGAAAAGCACACTTGATGTTAGGTCACCTAGCAGGGTTCTTTGCTTTTTTTCTATTTTATTTTGCAGTGAAGTTTTTCTTCAAAGAAAGGTAAATGTTTGACAGTTGGTTTGAGTACAGCTCAGACTCCAGCATCAGTAAGTTACAAGCTGGGATGGCACTCAAAAAGCAGTAGAGATTTTGATGCGAAGCAGTGGAGTTATTCCTTCCCTGCTATAATGGGACAAAGCACAAGACCCTCAAGAACTCATGACCTGGGAAGGGCAATGTCAAACTCTTTCCTACCCCCCAAGCTGTTTAGTTTCACATCACCTCAATGCTCACCCTAAGGCTATTACTCTTGTTGCAACATCTCATTTTGAAGCTTAATTGATGTTTTCTGTAAAGACTCCACCAGAATCCAAGTTTTCCACTGCAGTGGGCTTCAGAAACAGGAGCCAAGTGATCTGTTCTTCACAAACCTTTCCCAGTGCAAACAGATTTTAGGTTTTTTGCTGTATTAACTTCAGATTTGAAAAGCATCTTGCTATCACAAGAACACAGAAGAGAAGATTCCAGAGCACAGTTATGCAAAGAATTACAGGGACATGTATTCTGTTTCTAGTGCTATTTCATAGAGAGGGTCCTGGTTTGATTTACCTTTTCAATCTCTAGAACTTTATCTTGCATCTCCTTCAGGGCACAATGGGATTCTGCTTCGCTCAGCCTGGCTTGGACCAGCTCTTTTTCCAGCTGTAGCACAAAGTCTTCACTGTATCGTGAACTGCATTTATGCTACAAAGTTTGCAGAAATACGTTTAGTATGAAGCACAGATTGTTTGAAAGGGGTTTTATATGCCAGATTTGGAATGAAAAGTACATTTAAATGCTTAACGTTAGGAATACTAGCTTAAGAGCAACAGAAGTGCTTACCTTATACAAGTCTACCAGCACATCCATCAGACTGCTAATGGTAAAACCCCTAAAGCTATGCCTCTCAAACACCTGCACCTCCACACAGCCAAACGCGTAAGACCAAACCGAGACCCCTACTAGTATTGACGAGCAAGAACTCACACTTCCCTCTCGTTGTTACCCAAACTGAAAAATACTCAAAGGATCTGCGATTATTTTGTGATTTGCAGAAAGAGACACTTGCAGAAGACTAGCTAATTACAAGGTTAATACAAGCACCTATCTCTCTTGATCCCTACTCACTTCAACAGCAGCCTTCCATAATCTTGGATTTAAAATAAAGCCACGTGTGCTTCAATGCACAATCACTTTGGTTTGCCCCCTTCTTCCACTCCAACCCTTGGCTCTTGTTTGCTTGTGCTATACATATTCCTTCCGAGATTCTCTTCTAGGGCAGGCCCTGTGGATTGATGAGAAAAATCCAGGCACAGGTAGCAGCATAGTCCCTTCTCGACAGACAGCACAGACCCAAGCTACAAAGAAATTTGGTTCTTCCCATACAGTACTTACTCCAAGACTATCCCCAGCCAGCTTTGCACACCCAAACATGCTCGCTCAGTAACAAACAGCAGTTCAGAACTCACGGTCACCCTTCCCAACTTCAGAGGTAAGGGAAAACACACCACAGTTCTGCTCAAGTAACTTAATTCCAGCTAATTAACAGCCAAATAAGTTAATGGTGAATTGAAAGTGAGATCTATCCTTTCACTTACTAAAGCACGATTTCACGAAACTGCCTCTTTCAACAGATACATCCAGCTGAAGTCATACTAAGCATTTGTATTCAAAAGCCCTACTTAACTTCTTCCTCCAGTCAATAGTTACAGAGGACATTTTATTTATTTCTCGGGTCACTTTAAAGTGACTTGAGATTCACCACAGATTGTCAGACTTGCTCGACAGGCCATGCCATCCTAAAAATCAGTACGTAAATTTCTGTTTTAGGAAAAAAGAAAATGGGTGTTGAAGTCCCCAAAGCGTAGTTGCCTAGTTACTGTGTAGCCAGAGCTATCCTGAAAATGAAGTTTAAAAGCGAAGTCATTTAATACCTCTTCGGTGCCATTAACTACATTGTGAAGAATACATACTACGCTTTGATTAAGGGAATCCACAGAGTATTCATCATACTAAAGATACAAGTTTATAGTCAAAACAATGTTTGAAAACTACTTCAAGACTGACTTCTTTACAAAAAACCTGCTTTTATCTATTTGCCTTAAACCCTAGAATCTGTGACAAAAGCCACAATGTGAATCCAGATTTCCAGGCACCAGCCAAACATTCTAACCACAGCAACACTGGTTTTCTTGGCTGTGTTGAAAAGATGCCTGTAATGTAAAGCACTAAAAATGTAGTTCTACAGCCACTTTGGAAAGAAACAAGTCCTTGCTTGGCTTCACACAACTGGATTCATTTTCCCCAACTTTTCTTAAAATCTCAGAAACAGTAAAATCTCAGAGACTGACACAACCATTCCTAATATTACTTTAGCCGATGACAGATTATTACATGTAATAACAGAATGTTTTTCTAGTACTCTGTACTGAAGGGCAACTAACAGATTGTTCAGCAGCTGCCCAGCTAACTTTGTTCACACATTTAAGCACTAACTGTAGTACTTTACTAAATACAGTATTTTTATTTTCTGCTTTCCAGTTGAAAATCAGAACATAATATAAAAAAGTATATTGAATGAAGTGAAGCCTTCTATAAGGTTGCGACACTTATTTACAAGCATATATTCCCTCTATCAACTATTATGCTCTTTATTATCAGTCATTTTAGCATGAGTTCCTGAAAAGAAACTATGCGTTATGGAGTTACTGTAACAATAACCAAATGCACAGCTGTAAATTACCTTGCAAAATGCTTCTATCTGAATGTTTAGTCAATTAAAATTCTATCTTCACATAATACACTTGAAGAGCCTATTCAAGCAATTTTCGCTTGAGCTGCCTCTCTCTCCTCAGACTCAATTTTCAAGCATTCAGACTGATAAACTGGGCAATCATTGAAAACTAGAGTATCACTGGGAAAGACTGAGATTTGCGTTCTGGAGGCGTACTTAACTGGCAGAAATCATTGGATTATTCACCTTTATACATCCAGCAGAAACTATCTTTTGCATTTAGAAACAAAAGGAGAAAAAGAACAGAGAAAAAAACCCCATCACTTCAGCACAGCATTATCAGAAGTAAGTTAGAACAGGCTGATTACCCTCACCCTTAACTCCTCAAATACCATCACTCTCAGCATGACTCAAAAGAAAACCTGTATTCTGTCAGTCAGGCACAACTTCCTCTATGCAGCTCTTGACTCACTAGCAGTATGAGGAAGAAACCACCTTCCTCTTAATCTTTTGGTTACCCATCATCTCTAACAGCCTTTGGCAAGTTTCTATATTTAAAGATTAGACATGCCAAAGACAGCTTTCATTCAACAGCTACCATTCTCTTCAAAACCATTCAGGCATATGTTTAGGTAGCTGAAGCACTGAACTCCAAGAGCACTTCAGAATATTGTTAGCTTTACAGTTATTTTTTCCTAGTTATCAATATAAAATTGTACAGGTTACACAACATTTTAAAAATCTTTACACTGACAGAGTTGCTCTCTACTAAGCTGTGAAGTTTGCATCCAAAGTAAAATTGTGAAGTCTCCATCTCAAACCTTACTATTTTCCACTTCCTTTTCCCCTTTCAAATGACCTTAAATGTACTGAGAAATAATAGAGTATGTTTGATGACACTTAATATGTCATTTATTATATGATCACGAGTATGATTTTCAAGACATCTGGGAGAAGTACTATAGCAGAACTTCCCTTCCTTTCACTAAGAAACAATGGTAAGATGATTCTCTCTAAGTAGACTCAACACTATTACGGAGTCATTCTGATTCAACTAAAACCTCCCTACAAATACTTCCGCACGGGAAAAACTTAAGTTGCATGTAATTTGGGCTTCTGGTGTTGGACTTCAGTCAAAAGAATATTCCACTACCCATCTCTGTATTCAGCCTTACAAAGAAGTGCTGCAATGGAGAATCTCTTCATTGACACACGTCCTGTAAGCACTTTCAATACTTACCTTTAAGCCATCCAACTTGTGCTATCAAATCTCATAGAACAGAGGGAATAATCCCTAGATAATATTTAAATACAAATGCATATACTTTTTACAAAGGCTACGTTAGCCACCTCAGAAATACTATGGTCTACATAATATTTTTGCTACCAACAAAACAAAAAACCCTACTCCTATTTCTCCTGCCTCATGATTTACAAGTGAGTTGTGTTTTGGTTTTTTGGTTTGTGGTTTTCTTGTTGTTTTGTTGGTTTTTAAATCCTGTAGTGTTGTTCAGAAGAGGCAGCCACAAGTATCCTTAGGCAGTTCTTTTCATACATTCCTATTCAGAAATTCATACCCAAACTTCACAGTTTCTATCATGCTGAAACAGACAACTCAAGATTGGAAAAGGTGTAGATTATGAAGTATGTAGGAAAGATGCTGTACCTCTAAGTAAGTACAGATAAACTATGCAGCAGTTAAGTTCACCGCGCAATCATTTCTGCTAATCATAAACAAAACTGAAATAATTGGAGGAAAAAACCAACGTTAAGGCAAATATTAGTAAGACAATACTGAAGAGGACTATTGCCAAAAGCAAAGCTACTGGCACTAGGAAGTGGCAAAGAGATTTATCTGTGCACTGGACTCAAAATGAAGTGCCACAATTCAAGAGAAATTCATGGATTTCGCTAGGTGGTGCCCTCGGCGCACGCAGCTGTTCATGTTTGTTGCTCCTGTTTCCATGCTTGGAATCCAAGTTAAAAGCCTGTTCAATTACAAATCTTACTAATGCAGCAGAAAGTAGGGAACTACTAATTGAAACCATCTTAATACTTTCACCACGTTGTCCAAGTTAATTCAGACGGTCCTCAAAACCACAGTACTTACTCCTTACACTTCAAAATCAGTCAGCTGCTGGGCACAAGCCCCTCTATAACCACATGGATTTACAGCCTCAGTTCCACACAGACTATTTCCTATAGCCATGTTCACATTTCAGCAGAGCAAGAGGCTGCAAGCATGCAGGGTAGGAAGTCTGGCTCTTAATTTAACTGCCCATTCCCACATTGTACTTATTCTCCACTCCTGCAGTACCTGTCCAACCTTCTGCCCTCACAGCTCCGATACAGCCAATTTTGCAATCCAGTTACCCGTAGCTTTGCTCAGAACCCGTTCCCAGGCCTGGCCAACCTGCCCCATCGTTGCTACTTCATAAGGTCCCCAGAATAGTTAAAAGCATTAGTTTTAGAAGTCGTATTATGCATCGATGTATGGGTACCACCCATACGTTTATATATACAGCATTTTAGTCTCTTCTGATAACTTTGAGTACAAGTAACTAACATGGACGCCTCCAAAAATGCATTTCAAAAGCATGTGTACTACTGCAATCAGACAGTAAACAGCTGGCTGTCCAAGTCTATAAACATTTCTCATCTTATTTTGTATCTAAAATTTTGGAAAGCATCGCTAGAACATCTCCATCCTCCTTATTACTTCATGGTTTTTTTTTTCCCTCCCTAAAGAAATCACTAAAGTTAAATAAAAAGCAGCATTACACATTAGAGTAACAGCTCACTCCTAACTCCTTGCAACTATGCTAGAAGACAGACTTTTTTTACACGGGAATGTATTAAACATAATAAACTATTTCTATAATGTTGCATTTAACTTAACGATTTCTTTTCAGTCTAACAGTAAAATCTCATCTCCACCTTCCACAGCAAGATACATTTATTTCCAGAGCTTTGGTGGAAGGTGTGTGAAACAAACTTCTAGTTTGCCTGTAAGGGGTCTGGTCAGCAGCTGCAGTATGCTGCGGTTTGAACAAGCTGGATTGCATACCCTTGAGATGCCCAGGGCTTCAGACAAGTGCTTGGAGACCACTCAAACCAAAATGAGCATATTCACATCAACACTGCTAGGGCACAGTTTATTCAGCAAGCGAAGACTGCTGAAACTGCTCCCCTCCCTCTCTCAAGAGAGGAAACTGAGCACTTCGTAAGTGGCTTAGAGAAAACAACTCCAGTCTCACAGTAACTCTCTGAAGTCTTGCACGTTATACTACCTAAACCACATAGTACATACACACACAGCACTGCACAGAGCTGCTGGAAGTTATTTTACTGCTCTATCTGCACATAAACCCACAGCTTTTAACAGAGGCCTGTAGTTCCAAACTCAGGGACAATACCCTTCCATTTAGGCAAGCAGCAAATGCAAGCACCTAGGGAAAAAAACCTATAGGTACACAGAAGAAATGTTAACATGGAAGAGACAGACTTAAACGAGAAGCTCAAGGCATTAGAAATCAGCTCTCAAATTTGAGTATTCAGAATGACACAACCTGCAATGCCTAGATTCTTCATATTAGAAGCTACCAAGTGTTGTGTGTGGGTTTCTGTTGGTATTTGTTTGGTGACAGTGGGGTTTTGGGTTGGGTTTTGTTGTTGGTGAGGTTTTGGCTTGGGTTTTTTGTGGGTTTTTTTTTTAAAAAAAACAAATAACTTACACCTATCCAGGGTTATGAATCTCATCTATCAGTAAGAACAGACCAAAACATCACTTAGTCCAATCTGTGTAATTTTAAGAATGCAAATCACAATGAACAAGCATTTACAAGGACAGCACAGAGATCATGTCATGATGAGGAAAAATAAACATGAGTGAGTGACAAAGATGAGATGATGTGCTGCCAGGCTCCTTACCCATTGCTGCTGCTGTTGGAGCTCCCTGATGGTATTCTCAGCTTGCTCCAGTTTAGTAATGGCCTCATCACTCTGCTGTTTGATGGTGGCCAGCTCCCGTTTTATGAGGTAGTTTTCCTCAGCCTCCTGGGCCCTTGTCACTTGTCCCTTAGGACATAATTTATTTTTTTTTAAGTAATTGAGGACAAATCCAAGAAAGACTGCCTTTATGATGCTTAGCTGCTTATTTCACCAGATTGGTTTTGCAAACAGCATAGAGTACAATTGGTAGAAATTTTAGGACAAGGTAGTAATAAACAGCTGCTTTAGCACTTTATTACCAAGTTCAGCATCCGTTTAGCAAGCATAGTTGCATACTTGCATTCAATAAAATTCCTTTCATGCAATATTACTCAGTTGTACATGCACAGATTGACGTCCACAATATTCAATTTCAGTGTTAATACAGTGTCATAAAATCCATTTTGTCACAGGAATTTGTACCAAAACATACTACATTAGGTTAGGAAAATTATTATAAACGTGCAGGTATTGGGTTTATAGATTTTTAGTAAACAAAATTAAACAAGTTTCTAGCAAAGAGATTAGCTCTATATTTATCCCAAATCAGCAAAGCAGGGATAGAGTACAGCATGCAAATATGCATGCATTAAAGCAGTTCTGGGGTTTTTTGAGAGCAGGAAGGGAATCATACAGTAAAAGACTAAAAGACTATACCTGTATCAATCTATCTGCCAAGGAAGCACTTTCCTACAAAGGAAAAATTCAGATAGGAATAAGGAAAAGAAAAACCAAAAAAGGGGTGATAATAGCGACAAAAAAGACAAGAGCTGTGAGAAAGAAAATGCCCAAATTCTACCCATTTTCTGTACAAACTCTTTTTGCAAAATTAGCAGCTCTTCAATATAAATTAAGGCAACTCAGCCGGAAAGCCCCAGGAAGCAGCCTCTTCTGCAATAGGTTTAGCATCTTTGATACAAGAAGGTCTCAAAGCCAGAATTCCATAACACTTAAAATTCACCTATAGGAGACTGGGTATTTTTAGCCAAACGGCTTGCTTCCCTAATTAACAAAAGTTACTGATACATTATCTGATACGATCGAGTAGATAAATGCAAGATGTGGTCTACTGGCTGTCCACGACATGAAAGGCAGGCATAATTTGAGCACAAAGGAAACTCCACTAAGCACTGAGGCATTCATGCAGAACTAAAGCTTCCAAAAAGATGAGGCAGGAAAGTTAAATGATGCAAACTGACAGACACAAGTAGAAAATTTCAACTATGACAGCTAATATTTTGTTTTACTGAACTCTTACAGTAACTCCATTGAGCAGTTCATAGATTCTCTTTCCTTGCCAAAGATTTGCAGGAAAGAAATTTTCATCTATGCGGCACACCGAGCACTAAGTTCCTGCCCAGTTGCACATTTCATTCATTTCCACTCTAACACCCTTGAAAGCTCTCAATTTTTGCAGGTTCTACAACAGAGAACACATCTATTCACAGACCATCTTTGTCCTTAGAACTTTTATTAAAATTAAAGTTCAAACTGGTTGGTAAGAGCTATTACTTACAAGTTAAGGTGTTTGTCATTAAGGTACACTAAGGAATTCACAACTAAATCATATAGGTTAGGACCAGGAAAAAGTATTTTAAAATAAGAGAAAGTTGCCAGAAGAACTGAATATGTTTGTTCACACGTTATGACCTGGTTTTCAAATGCTGTGCTGATATTCAGAAATTCTTATTAATAGATAATATTTTCCCATTTTGAAATGTTCTAATTCCAGTCAGAATGGGATACTCCAAAAGTGAATTCTGAAATTTTAAGTACAGAATTTGCCAAAGCTCTAGTGTCCAGCAGTTCATCATGGACTTCCCAATTAAAAAAAAATCTGATTTCAAACTTCTGCAGTTATAAAACCAGGATATTTACTATTATAAATTTGACAAGAGCATTGAAGTGAAGATTTACTACAGCTTCAAACTTCTTAAAAAGAGTCTGCTCTTTTCAGTTAACTTTATCAGCATCCAACATTAGAATTAGAATTATTAGAATCAAAGATGTTTATAAAATTGTATTTTTGGTCACAACTTTCACAACATGTCCTCACTATACACATTTTTCCAAACTAAATTCAGAAATCAATTAATTAGAATTGGACAGAGATCGACTTTTTCCAAGAAACTGTAATGGATTTAACATCTGAAGTGTGACATCTTTCAATGACGTCACTCTCAATTGTATCTTTACCATTTTCTTCCCTGTGAAACATGAACGACTGTCTGCGACTCACAGGGGCAGGCAGTTTGAAAGAGCTGCTATACATTGGTGGTTAGGATGGACAAGAACGTTCTCGTTCTAGAGCAGCCCAGCCCGATGCCATCTGCCACCAGAAGGATGATACCAGAACACAGGAGAGGCCACGGGAGAACAATGCCTGTGTGTTGGCAATGCATCAACAAGCATTACCTTGTGCACTTTTGAAGTTACATCCAGTTACAAAGCAGCCTAGCAAAACTCTATTCCGGACTAAACCCGAGAGAAATAAGTCTTCAAAGATATTCTCCCCCACCCACATACCCAAAGCGGCTACAAAAATTCAAAACTATGTAAGACAAATTACTGGCAGCAGAATTCCTGTACTGAACATGAAAGCTGCAACAACACCCCTCTACTGCTGTATTCACTAGCGATGAAGTAATCTGCTTTCATCTCCATCTCTCTGGTCATTGGTAGGTCTGTCATTTTGCTCCTACGTAAAAAACACCCAGCAACTTCAGATTTTCAAAACTGAGGATTCTCTCACAATAACCTCTTTTCCACCCAAGCAGTTCACTATTTCATGTGGTCTTCAGGACTTTGAGCAGACGCTTCTAAGTCAGAAAGAAAACAGTACAACAGAAGTCGGGTACATCAAAATGTTTGATTTCATATTCTCTAAGAGCCAGACATAACAGCCTTCAGCATTTACAAGCACTGACCCCAATTACTTTGTTATTGCTACGCTATTTGGCTAAGCACTGTTAGTAAACGCCGTAGATTTAGCAGGAAAACCAGTAAGCTGTAATTCTGAGATTCCCATTCCATATAATGCCATCAAGTTAAGTGTAAATTAACACGGATTAAATCTAACCACCAACATACTTACTTTCTCTAATGTTTCAATGCGCTGTTTTAGGAGTCTGTTTTCAGTTCGTAACCTCTGGAAGGTAAACAGTTCAGAATTGTATTTCTCAAGTTATGAACTGGAAGTCTGATAAAAGCCAAGCAAGCTAACAACATTTTTATCTCATCGCATCTATGAAAAATCAATATAAACACAAAAATAATTAGTGGCCTTTTTAACATCCTTTTATATGATGTACTAACTCAAAGGATGAGTTTAAACAGCTTGATACAGCAAAGATGAGAAGTCTTGTGCTACAGGAAAGCATCCATGTTGCATTAGATGAATGCAGCACGTCTGCAGGTGAACCACAGGGCTTCACCACACACTAGACCTGACAGCCTCCTCCTCTTCAACAGGGCTGGACACAGCCTTCATGGGCTCCGGGCATGAAAGTGCACTCCCTGCGCTGGGACAGGCTAATGAGACAGCTACAAGGTTTCCTTCCTTTTCCTCCCAATAATTTATGTTAAATTATAATAATATTTATTTAATCTGTAAGGTAATACTGAGTTATTCACCTCAGATGCCCCAGAAGTCAGAAAGAATTACATGGAATTGCGTATTTTATCAGTGCATCTCCTGTAAATTTTAGGAGCCAGCATTCAGATAGGAGAGATCTGTGACCCCAAGAACAGAGCCGTGGGTATCAGTTCAGGAACGCTTTACCCTGCCAGGCTGAGAGACAGACTCAATGCGCTTGTTTTCCACCTCCCTGAAACAGCAGAGCTTCTTAGCAGAAAAAGAGTAAGTTAGAAATGGTTTAGATAAGGTCCCAAAGCAGGGCCTAGAAACAGACAGCTCTGGGTTGTTGGGTTTGGGTGGGTGGGGAGTCTGTTTGTTTGTTTTCATTGGGGTGTTTGGGTTTGGAGTTTTTTGGTGGAGGGTGGTAAACAGGGAAGGATCTGAAATAAGTTAAAATACTGGAATCTAAAGTTCCAGTTCTTTCAAGCGATTTTTATTCTGTCCTACTCTGCAAAGAGCTGGCATTTGAATCCTGAAAATCTTCTGATTTCAGATGCCATTACAGCAGGTCCTAATGCTGCTAACTGCCTCACTGCCTGTTAACAACCGTAATAAACTCCCTGAAAAAGCCTGGATCACCTTTGTGCTTCCAGGTGCATGTTACTGGATTTTTCTGAAGAACCAAGGCCTTAGAGACCGATCGGGAAAGGCAAAATGACTAGCAGTGGACAGGAGGAAGGCAGGCTGTACCATACCTCACTCCCTCTGCTAAGCTTCACATACTGCACTTGCCCATCATTTCTCCCACTGCCTTTTCTCGTGGAACTGGCTAAAAAACACGACATAAGCAAATCCAGATCAAACACCATGCTGTGAAAAAAATCTGAGTAAGAAAGAAAAAGCAGCAAAAGCCTATTTGTGTCACAAAAGCAAAAAGATGCAGTGACTAAGTACCTACAGCAAGTAGGTCAGCTCGCAAAAGGAAAACAAACTGCACTTGCAGTTTGCACGTTATGCACCAAGTGCAGAAGCTCCAAAACCAACTGACAGCAGACACTCAATCTTGACTCCAACGCATAAGGAAAATCAAGATCTCAAAATCAACACTAAACCCCTCAAGTGCATTCTGATAAAACTCTTAACATGTGTCTTACAAACCTCCTGCATGGGACACCTACATCTAAACCTGCAATATTCAGAACCTCTGATAAATGATGCCATCTGTAATCCAGCTTTAGTCAGCAGAAAATAATGAAAACTAAGCACAACAGGTCTCCATCAGAGATTTTTCTTTAAATGTCCACCAGAAGTCTCTATAATTTCACTATACATGTCTTTATGAACAGACATCCCAAATACAAATGCTAAAAGAGAATAATTTGGGGACCTCAATTACATGTTGTGCTGCATATACAGATCAAGTACGTTACTCCTCATCTAGGAATTAAAGTGATCCATAAAGAAATTTGTGGAGGCTCTCTTACTTTAATTTCAACTTGTTCTTCCATTTCTTTTGTCTTTATTGTAGTGTATTCCTTTTCTAACCTAAAAATCAGAAACAGGAAGTGATGATTAGAAAAACTGCAGATAACTTACTTGTTGGTGTAATACCTAACAAACAAGAGCAGAACACAGATCAGATTATTGGTATTTCCTCTGTTTAAGGGCCACTTGAAATGCACTCCTGTAAATATTCAGGCTGGACATTAAATTCAAACACAGACTTCCATAGATATGACCACACTGTGAACCAGCACTCTGAAGTACAGGTACTCTCTTGTATACGTTCACAGTGGCAACGATTTGGAGCTACTCCGTAATAACCACTCAGTGTAACTATACAATAATCCAATCAATAGATTCAGCCAAAAGAAAACAGAGCTTCGAAAGCCTGGAAGACAGAAAGATGCAAAAAGATGCGAGAAAAATCTTAAACCTAAAACAATTTTGGCCTCTCTCCACAAAACTTCCAACTGAGGAGAGACAGCAACAAGAAAAAGCAAGCAGAGATAAACGATGCCTCTGCAGAAGGCAACCAAGGAAGTTTAGACTCTGAATGGGAGGATTTTAAACTACATACGCTTATACTGCCTTTCAGAAAAAGTGTTTTTACTGCTGTAAAAATGTTTGTACTGTTTGAGACAACTGCTCACGCTACAGCGCTGCTCACAGGCCGCTGACAGAAGGACCGGCAAACCCAACTCGCGAGACCCTAGCACAATCTGCAGTGCAACAACAGTGAATGTACAGTACATTGCAACCACCTGGAGGACTGCCAAACAACCCTGGAAAAGCACAGTATGTGCAGCTTGGCTCACCAAGACCGAAGTTAGCAAAGGCAGAAAAAAGATGACATGCAACTAACCTTAAAAAAATTAGTATTATGCTCAGGATTTCAAACCTAAGTGAAAGTTACTCCACAGTTATCAATGGTATTACAAAGCTTCATCAATTTATATTTTAAACAGCACTAGATTTAACCACACATGCACTCTTTAGCACTGTGAACACCTTTCCAGTTCCTCAGAACTAAACTCCTAAGAATTTAGGCCAGATCATAAAGTTTAACCTCCTTTCCCTACTTAAAACCCTAAAAAACACAAACAATCCCCCCACTAAAAAAAACCCCACGCCCCACACACACTGCTTTTCCTATTCAGATCCTGTTTACAGAAGTCCTGTAATTCCCCATAATTTGCAGGTTTCTTCAAAAGCTTTTTAGGTTATTTTTATAAATGAGATACAGCTTTACTATATTGAGAAGAAACAGCAAATACTGCTTTAGAAGAATTTTCTTGCAGACAGAACTTCAGTTTTAACTGTTTATAATATAAAACACCAAAAAATTTAAAGATGGAAAATTCAAAGTGAAATACTGAATAACTAGTTTTCAAGATAAACAAACAGTAGCTCTTAGCAACAGTATAATCTATTTTCTCAAAACGTTATACCTACTTTTTCATCTTTTTTGCATTGTATTTGACTTGGTAAGATGCTTGGATTAATTTGTCTGGACCACTGTCAAACTGATGTGGAATGACCTTTTGAAAGTGCTAAAAGCAATCAGAGCACAAGATTACATATAATTAATGGCTGCAAGGAAATACACACACACACACTACACATTTCAGACATCTTTTACAATTATTATAACCTTAATTTACCTGTAACATTCCTTCCATGTCAAGTTGCAGTAATTCTGCTTGGTTCATCTGAAGTACTGCTAAACCTACTCGAAATACTATCTCTAAACCCTGAAAACAGAAGTTAAGAAATATCCAACAGTTATTTGTGGCATTATCAAGAGGACAGAGCGATTCTACTATTTACTGATGTTAGAAATCTCACCCAGTTTCTCAAACAAGCAAAAGGGCTACCGAAAAATCTCTCAATAACTTGGTTCTGCGTTTCTTATTTGTCCCAAGGACAAGCAGTCCGGCTGTTTGTCCTGATGCCAGACACCCCCCCGCCCCAGAGAGCCTAGTGCTCAGGTAAAACCTCTTAAGTGACAGGTGTTCTTTATGTCAGCTTTATCGAACATTTCAAATATATCAAATACAACCCCCCCCAGGGTCCTTCTCAAATAAGCCATTTTCATTTCAGACATGGTGCAAAGCAGTCGAATTAATTAAACAGACACAAGGGGCTGTCTCACTAATATAACATCATCTTGGACATTCTTGAGCATAAGCTGAAAGGATCCACCTTCGACTTACTCTTTTCTAGAAGATGACTGCAGGGAGCATAAATGGACCACAAGCTTCCGTTTGTCACCAGTTACAGCTACGCAGAGCTCTAACCCTACATACAACTTACATGTCTTTGATAGCAACACTGAATAATTCCATAATTTTTTGGCTACGGTTCATCATCTGGACCTGCATATGCCCATGGAGCTTCAACTCTGGCCTGAAAGCAGCGTTACTTTCCACCCCAAATTTACTATAACACTGAGAAACTGATGTCCCTATTGTAATGCTACTGCACTCGATCCAGAACCGCCACATTTGGTAACTCCTCACCAGGCGTAGGGTACAGAATTGCACACAGCACCTACGGTCAAAGATTTAGTTGCCCTTCCTTCCTTGGCAAACTACATAGACAGCTTCCCCTAAAAATAATCTGGTAAGCATAAGGACTAAAAAGCAAGACTATTTGAGATCTGCCCATCGTAATGGGATTTATACCACTACATAAATAACTGCTTCTAACAGCTACTCTTGAGATAGAACATGTGAGTATTGAGCAGTTACCTCGGACATAAAGATATCAAATATTCTCGTTGCAATCGGTAGTGGAAAAGTTGTAAGGAATATAGTTAAAAACCATGACGACGCATACATAGAAGTGTGGAAACTCTGAGACTGAAAGTGCACATAAAGCTCTGGAAGATGCTCCTGGAAAAGAAGAGGAAGGAAAAAAAAAATAGATGTTACTTCTGCTGGTAGTTTTAGTGTGTCCGTGATTTTGACAAATTTCAAATAAAAGAAAATAACTGATACTCAGTACAGCAGCGTCATAATACAGCACTAGGAAAGACGTTACTCATCAAGAGCCATGCAACAGCAGTCCCAGTACAGAATGCCCTACAGCCCTTCTCCTCTGCAGAGCAGATTACAAACAGTTCCTGATCCTTATAAGAAGCCATGAGCTTGTAAATCCCTATGCC